GCTTATGGGGTCTAGGATATCGGGTTTAGGGTTCAAGTTGTGGGGTTTAACCCTACTTGGAGGATTCTGGGACTTAGTAACGAGGGTTAGAGACAAGGTAGCCCCTATAATGACGAATCACCCCAAATAAGGTCCTTCGGCTGATGATAGAAATCCTGCACAAAAACTATGGGAATTATGGTATATTGATTTTTTAAGTAGTGCAGGATTTATGTCATCAACCGTTACAGCCTTACCTTGCTAAGTCCCATGCTCCTCGGAGTGAGGATCCATGTACTCAAAGTTTTGCCCTAAACCCTAAACCGTGCCTATATGTGGGTGGTTGACAAAATTAGGGTCCCTTTTTGGGTCCCTATTATAGTACGGTACCTATTATTTAGGGTATCCAAAAAGGGACTATAAGTTTGACAACCACCCATGTGGACACGGGTACATGGATACATAAAGCCTATGGCCTATGATAAGGGTCACACTGGGCTCAGGGAGTTGTGGATTTAGGTTTGTAGGGTTCGGGGCTTAGGGTTTAGGATATAGAGTTAAGGTTCAGGGTAACTACTGAATATAGTAATGGATCTCTGAGGGCTCTAGAATAAGGGTTCCGTCAGGGTTCTGTAAGAGCTTTTCAACTGATTAAGGGGTTTTGAGGGTCATACTTGGGTATGCGAATTTAGGATAATGACATTTTTGTGATATTTTGAAGATTTCTGGTGATGTATGATGATTATATACGTACTTGGCTCAGGCTTGCTGCATGTAAAGGTTTACAAGTGTTTTGGAGCGTTTTCAAGGTTTTCGTAAGTTTTTCGATTGCTTACTATGCTGCTGCGACACGCATTTATACCCTTGCACAGGAGTTCGTTAGGGTGTTTGACCCTCAATAAATTATGGTCCTAGATAGTGGGGTATTTGGGGTAAACACAGGGGTTTGGGGATTGGAGTCTAACCCAGACCCTAAAGCCTCAACCCTCAATCTTTGAAATGGGAAAAGGCGCCGCGAACCTACAGGTTAGATTAATGTAGGGGCCTTAATAATTAGAATAGGGTTTTGGGGCCCATTATACTATAATTATAATAAGGAACCCCAACCATAATATAGGTAATTATTTAGGCTTCTACAGTAGGCAAGGGTTTGCAGCACCAGCATCCCTATTCTAACAGCCAGTTGCCTAATGGTCCAGACGCCTAGTCGCGTACTCTGCCTAAAAAACAAATCCCTAAGGGTCCAAGTACTCCACATCATGAGACTTTGGGCCCATTTTGGGTACTGTGCCAAAAACCATAGATAAGGACTACCTGGACCCTTAAGGATTCCAACCCTAAACCCTACTTAAAGGATCATGGGACTTAGTAACTATAGGGCTATAATTAGGGTAACTATACTTATAACTACTTATAACCCAATTCAGGTACCTATAACCTTACCTACTAGGTCCCATGATCCTCCAAGTACGTCTAAACCCTAAACGGGTCCTTTTTCGACCCTTGACAACTCCGAAAGAGCAAGCTCAGGGGTTTCGGGGTCCTTGAAGGGATCCTTGAGGGGTGCCTCAAGAGGGATCGAAGGTCAAGCTCCAACAATTACCCATACCATTTGGGGCTCCTTATTTTTATAGTTTATAGTATAATGGGTCCAAAATCCCTATATATTCTACTTATTACAGTTCTAGTATAATGGGTCCCAAAACCCTATTCTACTTACTAAGGCCAAAAAACATTAAACAAATCCGACAGAGCCCCTCTAAACCCCAAACCGCCTAAACCCTATAGATCCCTCATAGAGCCCTTATGGGTCCCTTTAGAGGAACCCTAGAGGTGCTAGAGATACCTTTAAAGGAACCCTAAACCCCTAACCCCCCAGGGAAATCCGAAAGAAGGGGTCAACCTCCACAGCATCGCCAAAGCGCCGCAATGCCGCTTCGTCGATGGCCTCGCTCTACAAAACGTCTCGTTTGGGGCTCCGTCGGGTTTGGGGGGTGTTAGGGGTTTTGGGGAGTTTTAGGGGTTTGGAGGTTGAGGGTTTAGGGCATCGGATGTGAAGAGCGTGGTGTTTAGGGTTCAGGGTGTAGGCGTGAGGGTTGCGGATATGAAAGAGTCCCGTGTTCGGGGTTCAGGGTTTAGGGGTTGGAGTTTTCGGGTTCAAAGAGTTTCGTGTGTTTAGGACTTCATGCTTTAACGCTTCTCGGCCAAGAACAATACAATGCAAAGGTCATCGAAGGACCAGATCAACGATGAGCCCCAGAGCCCTGTCCTCTTATGAGCCGAAAGAAGCGACAGACACGTCACAACACTGAGAGATGCACTTTCAGGGCTCTCATCGCCAGTTAGTCAGACCTTATACACCCAGTCTCTTTGTCTACACTCTATAGACCGTAACATCTGCAAACTGAACCCACAACCCGAAGCTTGAACAAAAACCCAGACCGCAATTCGAAACCCTAAACCCTTCAAAGGCTTATACTTCGAGGATCATGGGACTTAGTAAGTAAGCTTATAAGTTCCTTAATTTGAGGGGTTATAAGTAGGTATAAGTATAGTTACCCTAACTATAACCCCAGTTACTAAGTCCCATGATCCTTCAAGAACCCTTCAAAGGTTTATACCTAGACCCCCAAAAGTAGGTAGAATAATGGCCCAAAGCCTGTAAAAAGCTGTTGTTCTGCATGCTTTTGGGGTCCAGGTGGGGTTTAGGGTTCTGCAGCCTCTGCCCGGTTCGTCGCCCCGAGGAAGAAAATCTTCTCGTCGCCCGTGCCTTTGCTCTCGGTTCTCTCGACTGGATTGGGGTTTTGAGATTCAGGGTTTAGGTTTAGGGTTTAGGGTTCAGGTTTAGTGGAACCCCCAAAATTTTGTAAAATAGTTAATTCCAAAACCTACAAAAGGCTATTCATTCTACATACTTTTGGGATCCAGGTGGGGCTTAGCATGCAGGGTTTAAGGCCGTTTAAGGCTAAAGCATGAAGACCCCGACACCGGTCGGACCCCACGAGGGATACAATGTGGGCCTCTGAAATCAATGCTTCTGCAGCTCGCCACTTCAAATCTCAAACCCTAAACCCCCACTGAACCCCTATATTCTAGTACCCTTATAGATCCCTTATAGTAGCCCTTCTAGATCCCTTTAAAGGGAACCCTATTCCAACAGCCCCGAGCCGAAACCCTAAAGCCTCACAGCCCTAAAAATGCAAAGCTCGGTGCTAAATCCGTCCATCCAGGCCAGCAGCGCATTGGTGGTGGACCGATGGTGCTGGCAAGGGGAGGTGGTTTGGGTTTTAAGGCTTTGTGGCCTTGTAGGGCAGAGGGCTCATAGAGCTTTAGGCTTTTGGGGTTCAGTTTTGGGGCGGTTCTCGAAAGGCCCAATACCGTTGAATTGCGAAAGCTTCTAGATTTTTCCCTGGGTTCTGAGGAAAACTACCCATAGCCATAGTAGTTCCATTTTGGGATTACCTGATAGGATTCTTATATGTGAGCCCCCCAAAAGGATCTACTATGGGTCCTATGGGTACTTCGTGAGGAGTCGTGGACTCCATGGGTTCTCCCCGACATCAGAGTTCCATCACCTACGCAGGCCTAAACCCTGTTCAGAAGCCATATACAAGCAACTGTCAAAGTCACGGTCTCTTTCCCAAAGGCTAGGTACTTAGTCCTTGAAGTACCTATATAGGGGCCCCTTTAAGGCCTAAGTACCTGCTATATTGGTACATGGAGCCTTTGGGTTTGGGCAACCCCATATACTTCGGCGCCAAGCCAGCATTAGTGCACGGGTTGAACACTTACACTCTGAGCTTGTGTGCAGCAGGCTTCCAAAAACAGAAGACACTGTAAATATCGTAGACCCTAAACCCTGAACCCTAAACCCCTAAACCCCTTAAACCCCCTAAACCCCCGATCCCTAAACCGTCAAAGCCCTGAAACCATAAACCCCCAAACCCTGAAAAACCGTAATTCCCCAGGAATTTTTGAAACCAGACTTGGGCCACGCAAGAAATACGCTGAACAACTTTTGGACTCCTTTACCCAAAGCAAGTCCTAGCCAACACCGGCTCTCGGGTTACCTTTAAAGGGTTCCTTAAAAGGGCTGTTCTATAATATAAGGGCCTGAATAATTAGAATAGGGTAATGGGGACCTTCTTACTATATTTATAAGAAGGAGCCCGCCAAAGAGTCTGGTGGGAAGCATTTAGGCCCCTATATTACCACGCTACAGGATTTGGTACCTGTGGATCCGAAACCCTACCGTTTTAAGGGCTATAACTTCATAATCCGGGGGTCATAACCTACTATTTTGTAGGGTTTGGGGATACAGGTGATAAAATCCTTGTGACCTCGTGATTCAGCCTAACTACACTTCGAACTGTACATAAACAAAGTGCGCAGGCACTTAAGTTTTCTTGCCTTGCTTGTCGAAGCAAACTCAATGTGAAAGATGTGCCTGGTTCATCTGATGTTTGTACATGTCATAATCATAACACTGTCTAAGCACAAACTGTAAACGATGGTTGCTTCAAAGTGGCACTTCTCCTAAAATAGGGGCCTTCACATAATTAGCATAGTTTTTTTGTGGCTTCTTTATACTATATCTATAATAAGGAGCCCCAACAATAGTATTGGTAGTATTGATAATTCCCTGAGGGTCCATGTACCTATATAGCATATACATTGGGCCCAAAATGTCTACGTAGGGGGTACTTTAAAGCGAATGTATATGCTATATGAGTACATGGACCTTTAGGGATTAGTTAGGCCCCTATACTAGCCTATATTAGACGACTTTCACCCTGCTTTTCTTGATGCCTGCTGATCTTCACGTGTCAACTTCACATGGGAGTTTCCGAAAATAGGGGACCCAGACGTAGTACCCTAAATACTAGGATCCTTATTCTAAGGACCCCATATTGAGGTGCCCCTAATTTTCGGAAACTCCCACTTTGATATGACCAAGCTCGTCAAAGCTGCGAAGAGGTCAGCTAAGCCTTTACCTGCACCGACGACCATTTCCAAATGCATCAAGAAACTCTACAACGGCTGTTGCCGAAGACGTGCTTCTCGTCGCCGGCCTCCAGCAAGCGCACGAGCTCAACACCTCCTTGCGGAGACTCGGCAGCCAAATCCGTCTTGGCGCCGGTGTCGGCTAAGTTTTGGCGGGCACGGGCCTCCGCCAGCAAGCGCAGGACTTCGACAGAATGCTTCCGAAATGCTAGCGAAAAAGCCGTGCTGCCGGTGTTGTCCGCCGAGTTTTGGTCAGTGCCGGCTTCCAACAGCAAGCGCGCGACTTCGACATGACCTTGCTCAGCAGCAAGCATCAAAGCTGTCGTGCCGTTGTTGTCAGCCGAGTTCTTGTCAGCGCCGGCCTGCAACAACAACCGCACGACTGCAACGTGACTGCGTACAGATGCCGTCATCAAAGCTGTGCATCCACGGTAGCCGGCCAAGTTCTTGTCGGCACCGGCCTCCAAGAGCAAGCGAACGACTTCAACATGACCCTGCCTGGATGCGATGGTCACTGCTGGCTGCTGTCGAGTGCCAATCGAGTCCGGATCTTGGGGCAGCTGCATCATGGACTCAACCTGATAGGTTTGGATGCTAAATGCTTAAGTACGGAGCAACCGCTGAACCAAAATCACCAACAGGGACCGTAAAGGAATCCTTTAAAAAGAGCCCTGGTCTAAAACAATGCTTCTATATTATATAGTACTGGAGGATCAACGGGTACGACCGACTTGTAGGAAGGTCAGCAGACGGCTGCGCACGTTCTGGAGCAGGAGTATAGTCTAGGAAACTGAGCAATTATTTGTGTGTTTTTTGCTTTTTGCGCTTTAATGGGGGTGGGTATATGTTAGTATATTAGTACATATATGCACATGTTATACAGAATACTAGTCGGGTGGCTACTCCTGCAGCTAAGGGTTTCTGGGGTTTAGGGAGCCTACAGGGTATATAGGGCTTAGAGTTTTTAGGCCCTCACATCCTTACAAAAGGTTACTTGTCCAGTATCCTGCCGGAACTAATGCTAACCTTTAGGATTGTAGAGGGATGGTACGGCTGATGGTAGAAATCCTACACTACCCATAGTGAGGAATATACCATAACTCCCATAGTTTAGGTCCTTAAAGTATTGCAGGATTTAGATCATCAACCGTAGCATCCAAGAAGGCTCCCAACCTAAGCTACATACTTTGGGGGTCCAGCATAGACTCATGTTAGCTCAGCTTAGGAAACATACCGCGTCATTTCGGCAAGCTCAGCAAGGGGGCCACCAACCCGCAAGGCGAACCAGGGCAGGGTACTGCAGCAAATACATTATATACGTACGAACAAACTTTCTACAGATCTGTCCATGTGCAAAGTACTATCCGAGAGGGTCCAAGTACCCATATACCTGGGCAATAGGTCCTCCAAGACATATTGTGAATGGTTTTTGGTACCTAGAAACCCTACTATTTGGGTACTCGGACCCATAATTCGTGTATTTCAAAAACTACCCACCTTGGAAATGGAGCCCCGCATAGCAGCCGCTGCAAGAGCTTCTACCTGCTCTTCAGAAACATCAGCAAACGTCAAGAGAACGAGGTCTAAGTTCATGGGGGAGTCCAGCGTCACGGCATCCTCCAAAATCTCGCCGTGGAAGAGAACCCTCTGCCTAAACCGCGGGGGCAGGCCATGCCGCTGATTCAGGCGCAGCTTTAAGCCCTTGACGTCCGGTATCTCCTGAACGGGCATGCTCGCCACAGCATCCCCGGTGAGCATCCTGAGTTGGAGCATCTTTGCGAATGGTGAATCCAGCGATTCGGAGAAACCAGCAATTGGGCATACCGAGATCAATGCTCAAAGGATCATGGGACTATGTGGGACTTTAAAGGTTAGTAAGTAAAGCTGTAAGCACCTTCGGGCTAGCGACATTTCTAAGATACCTTACTTCTATTCCTACTACAAGTTATAACAAGATTAGAAGCGTGAGGTATCTTAGAAATATAGATAGCCGTATAATTTATCATGCGACGCCCAGCATCCTTTGAGCCGAACAGTCCTGCGGACCGCAGCGACCTGCCACAGTTCCTTTCTAGAGTAATCTGCAGAGTCCTCTCCAACGTGGGACCTACAAACCCTAAACCCCTAAAGCCCACAACGCCGGGTTTAGGCCCTTAGGCTTTTGGGTTTACGCCTATAGCCCTATACTCCTAATTTTTTTGGGGGGTACTTAGTTAAGTTATAAACCCCTAAACCCTAAACCCCTGAATCCTACTCTGCAATCTAGCCTGGACCCGTGGTTTGATCTGGTACAACAGAATGTCGGGTGTAAAGCAAGGGCACTTGCGGCAACAAGAGAGGAGCGCAACATCGTCAACAACTAGAGTAGTAGAGAGCAGTGCGCATCCCTTGGGTACTGCCCCCCCCCCCATACAGTAACAGTCTACAATCGGGCTACTGCAGTAGGGAGGGCCGCATATGTCTGTTCTAAAACATTACTCAACTCTCACTTTGTGGGGGGGGCAGTATCCCACCCGCTCACATCAAGATTCCCGAGAGGCCTTTAGTCAGCAGAAAAGATGAAGACGGAAGCCAAGAAACCCTCAACCCTAAACCCTAATACAAAGTAAAACTGAGAGAGCCCTCAATTAAGGAATATACGTAGAGACTCCTAAGTCCTGACCCTAAACCCTAAAGCTCGAAATCCTAAACCCCCGAACCCCTCGCCCGCCAATCCGAACGCCAAGCCTGCGGGTGTAACAAGGGGCCCAGAATACTTAAAGGATCCCGGGACTTAGTAAGTATAGGATTACCTAAAGGGCGTCTTGATGGGGTCTAAAACAATTCGATAAGGGGGGCTGAGGATCTCAAAAGATCATGGGACGTAGTAACTACACTTAGCACTGCTTATACCCCCCAATTAGTGTACTTATCCTCCGACTCACTATTGAAAATATTCCTTCGGGTTCCGATTATACCTCCTTCGTACCTGTTGAGCCATTAATTTACCTACCTAAAGCTGAACCCTGATAAACCCTGTGTTTGAGCAGCGCACCCTAGGGATCCATGCACCCCGCCAGGACCCAGAGACTCCAAAACCCCTCTAATTAGAAGATATCCATCAAAACATAGTAAAGATCCTGGTATGGTTTGAAATATAATCCTTAAATGAGGGGCTTCGGAGTCTCTTACTTGGACCCTGAAGAAGCCATTCATGTAGGAACTCCTGTCAGGTCAAGGCATACACTAATGGGTACTTGAAGCCCGTAACCAACCCCGCAATGCCCCTATACCCCGATAAAACGTACAACTCTACAAACACCGTGTACGACCTGATGAACACCCCAATAAAACCCTCCAAAATCCTGCAACAAAAGCCCGAAACCCTAAACCCTAAACCGAACCCTGCAAACACCCTTGTCAAAGCTCGGCTCCGCATCGTCCAACTTGGGTCCCGGTGCCTCCGCCACGCCGCTACCATCCCGGCTGCCCAACAGGGAATCCACCTGGCACTTGCTTTGTTCGAGGCGGCAAGCGGTCCAGGTATAAGGTTTTTGCGATTTTTTTGGGGGGGTTATGTCAGGGGTTGATGTGGGGGCCCAAATCATGCTTTTCGGTGTCGTACATGATGCAACTATCAAGAAAAGCTGTGGCACACTTCTAGTAACAGTGACTCATACATCAAGACCCTATATGCCGTTTAGTCCCTGAAGGAGGCCCCAGTTCGAAACAAGATGTGGGCCTCATCTAAGAAGACGACGGCCGGCGATGCTTCGCGGACGACCTCTTCCAGAGCCTGCATCTCTGGTGACGATGGCTTATATACCCTAGAGTCTCCATTGTAGTTCTTTTTAGGGCTCCTACATATAACACTGGTTAAACCAAGAACGGAACCACAATGGAGACTACAGTGTAAGCTGTCCGGATGAGGGTTTTATGGTGTTGCGATTAGGGTTTAGGTTTTAGGGTTTAGGGGCATGATGCAAGGTGCCCGTGAAGGTGAGATCGGCGAGGAAAATGCCTCTAGACTGCATACACGATTAGCCCCCATGAAAACATAGTATGCAACAACCTATCAATCCTGAAAGACTCGTTTCGAGCACGATTAATAAAGCAGACCCATGCCTCCTGGATCCAAGTTCCGAGTGCTTGCAGTGCTACTCGCAGTCTGTCTAGAGTTTAGGTTGCTCTTGCCTCACACATGGGGAGATGTACGAAAATAGGGTCCCTTTCCAAGTACTCACATACTAGGTGTCGGTTTCAACAGAACCGCAAAGTATTCATAGTTGGGGCACTGTCTTAAACAACATCAGGGAAAGTACAAACTGTCGCAAATCGATACCTAATATACGGTATATTACATAGAGTTCTGGTGTTTGACCCCGCCGGGGCTTCGGGTATGAGGTGAAGGGCCTCCAAGGTTTGGGGCATGAAAGGATTTAGAACCCTGAATCCTAAACAAGTCCCTTAGCCATAAACCTCAGAAGCATCTTGCCTGAAGCCTCCTGCAGGCATAATTCTAAAACATTGTGAACCTGAGCCGCAAAAACAAAATCCGCCTGAACGCAAGGACACCCTGGACCGGAAATCTGCAACCGCATGCCTGCACTCGGCGCTGGGATTCGCCATAGAACTTCGACATCACGTCGCCAGGGCGGACTAGCTCGCAGGGTTTTCAGGTGGGGCAGGAAAGTAGCTTATGTTTTACTCCTGGAAAAGGATTTATCGAGGTTGTCGAAATTCGTGAGGGCTCTCTAGCGGGAACCCGTAACTTTAACCTTCGGATGTGCAATTTCTGAAAGCTTCAAGATTCAAGGGTTGAGGGTTCAGGGCTGAAAAAAGTCAAACGCTTTAAACACTTTAAACTAGCTTGGGGTCTTACGGATTAACGCGGACGACTCGCCAAAAGCTGCTATCTGCTTGAAAAGCGCTGAAACAGATATAAGGCACCTACGAATATGGCTGGAAAAAGAGGAAGTTCAATAACGAGGGCTCTGCAATGCAAAACTGTTTTTGAAGGTTTTAGGCTTTGGAACCCTATAGGCCCTATCCTTAAGTTACCATAGCCTACTTTTCTGTAGGTTCTTGCTATGATGCTGAAAGCAGACTGGGACCCTACGACAACGAATATCTCACACAAGTAACCATAAATCCCTGTTGCATGCAGACTGTTTTCCACCTGCTTCCACAACGGTGGCGTAAGTCTGCGTATCGATCGATCTTCTTCGAAGTCGGTTCGTAGTTCATCATTCCTGACAGGAATGTGATCCGTCATTTCTGGGAAGGACCGACTGTTTCCCATCGGTGGTGGTCACGTCCTCCCGTAGCCAGTGTGGCTCAAGCTTCGAAAACTTGGCAAGCCGGTCAAGCAAGACTGGCGCCCAAGCTGCGAGCAGCTTGAGGTCATGTATATCCCATTTATCCATACCTGGCGCTGAGGTCTTAGTTGCGTGCAATTTAGCCCGCAGCATGCTACCAGCTAAGGACGGGAGGTCAGCAACACGTTGCAAGGTGGGGGGGGGCCGTATGCTTCAAGAAAGCTACGAAAGCAAGGCTCGCCATTCTGGTGAGCTTCGTAGATGCGCGACCAAGACTCACGGATGAGTTTTGCTCGCCCTTGTAAAGGAGCGAGTTCTGGTGAGCTCTGATTGGACTGGGCTGGCTGTGCGAGTGCAAACCAAATCTGCAGTGTGTGATGCTGCACAAAGATGGTCCGGGAAGGGGTCGTGGGCGGGGTCTGGCGGGGGGTCTGGGAAAATGGTGCCAAAGTGAGGTGGGGGTTTGCTGGGGGTCCCCGCCCTCCCCTTCCTGGACAGGTTGTCTGGGGTTTGGGGCTTTGTTTCAGTTCCCCTCGTATCACTCCTCGGGCCATAGTCCGCCGCTGTCGGCCAGCACTTCGAGCACTACGACGTCTCTGTCTGTTGTGGACAATCTGAAGGAGTCTCTCACCGAGTTCGGTCGAGAGCAAGTCCTCGAAGATTTCCAAGTCGAAAAGCTTCAAGTTCGCAAGCATCGATCGAGTAGATCCACAAGTCGATTCGGTGTGAATGTGAGATTGATGAGTTGTCATTTCGCACAAACAAGTGTGTGCTACACAACAAATCGGGTTTGGTAGTTCAGGGATATGCCCTGAAGCAGCAAAAAACACTGAGGTAAAGGTATGCCGTAAGACCAAACCATAGTGCAACCCAGTCTTTGCTCTACAGACCTGAGCTCAGCACTGGACCTAACATCTAAAACCATAAAAAGCGAAATATGCTAACATCTAAAACCATGAAAACCGAAATATCCTAACATCGAAAGCCATAACAACCGAAATATCCTAACATCTAAGTCTAAAACCATAAAAACCGAAATATCCTAACATCTAAAACCATAGACACAAGCGAACAAACCTGAAGCTCTAAACTCACCAACATCCCATAACAACTTAATGCTTGCACCCTGTGATGCTGTAACCAGCTGAGGCTTCAATACTTCAAGGCTTTAAGTAGGCATTGGCATTTGCAGGTGCAGGGGGCTTCCACAGATAGGGTTAAAGGGATTAATTAGGGATTTAGTTAGGGTTTAAGGGCTTAGGGCCAAGGGTTTAGGGGTTTAGGGCTGGGTTTAGGGGTTTGGGCCTGTCTAAACGCATGTTTGGATATCATATCAACGGGCCCTGACAAATGAGGGGCCACATGTAGGTTTTAACAGGTTTCAGGTAGGCCCTGAACCCGATCGAAACCCTGAGCAACGTAGGCCGGGTGCGCTGTGGAAAAAAGACGCTTGACCATCCAGTTCGACAGCGGCCT